CTTTAGCTGATATATCATGAGAATATGCAGCACAAGTGAAAATTTGAACAATCTTCTATTTCTTCAATATATGCCAATGTGAATTCTCAATCATTTGTGCATCATAATTGAACCGGGATGTCCTACCGGTCATGCCAACTAATATTTGTTTCATTAAACCTCTAGTTTACTTGTGGCATGCGATTCCATTCTTATGCTTATACTTGTGTAGTACAAATAGAAAAAAGTCTGGTAACCTTTTATATTTACCCGATATGAATATAGTAATATACAGATATTTAATCTTCCTTTTATTTATAGTCTCAATTTGCCAACTACTTTGGCTAATATGTATGAAACTCAAAAAGTTTTTTTGAGACTTACTACAATACCAATGTCATGAATAATTTTATTCATGAGGATAGTAATAAATTCGCTCTTTCGGAGCTCTCAATTATTTTGCACTACAAGATCTTTTATCACACTATCTATATGGTAAATGTCTCATTCACGGAGAAAATCATATCATAATAATTGTCATGGTTAAAATCATCATAAGCAAAATCATTTTATGCTGTAATTTTGCCTTTAATAACTTTTTATAAGGCATGGCAAAATATTTTTGGCGCACCACATGTACACGACCAATGACATATTCATGTAACCACACCGTAATATTCATTATCTTTCTTTCTCTCAAACCTCCCTTAGAGGTGAGTTGTAGTATTTATTCAACCATGTATAAGCACATTCTTTTGTATAATTTCTATCACATATATATTTTCACATTCACTTTTAAGAATGAGTTTGTATTTACAATGCTTATCACAAGTCACTTTTTTTAAGGGATGAACTATAATCATGTGGACGTGTCTCGTATTAACAGACCACATTAATGCACATTTCCTTCATATTTGAAGGATTATTTTGAGAACCCTTATTATTCTCCTTTTTTCAATTACGATAATGATGACTATTATTATTTTGGTCGCTGGCACGCCCACATTCATTTATCAACCACTTATCTTCATTTAGACTTATTATGCACTGCTACCACATTCTTTTCATAGAATGGAGCATTATTTTGCATCAGTCATCATTATATCATCAATATGGTGCATTGAGACTCAAATCCAATGTCTTATCCTCATAACAGTGTGTTACTCTAAAATGCAGTGACACTCGAACCCAACTCTTATAATCATGATGCATCAGGACTCGAACCCAATGTTTTATCTTTACGGTATGCTGGAACTTGAACCTGCTGTCTTAACCTCAATCAAATCCATAATAGCCCAAAATGCACTTGAACTCACACTCGAGTCTTTAAAAATATACTCACTAGAGTAGTTATAGGTAAAAATCATTCAGTCATAACAACTTTGTAAATATTAACACTTAAGTCAATATCGAATGTCGTCAAATATAATCTGGTTCATTATATAATATGATTTGATATTTTCAAATTGAAGAATCAAAAGTTCTTAAAAGAGAGAATGGACAAATATGTTTATATTTGATCAATATTCGTTCATTTTAAATACTTTAATCAGCTGGTACCCTATTAGTCCATTGAAATATCAAAATTGGTTGCCCTTTTCATTTTCTCTTCCCAATATAATCAAAGAAATAATATTTGTAGTATCCTATATGGCATGCAATAAAACTCGGTTACCAACATAAAAAATGCAAATTGCTTAACTAATTTTGCATTAACGAGAGATAAATTTTACATCTAAATCATACTGCAACATGTAAAATCTCCAGCAAGTGAATCAACTAAAAGTGTGAATGCATATCTACACAATTCACAAACATACTTCACCAATATCTTGTTAATTAGTAGTAATATGTAAACTAATTATATATACTTTCAAAAATCATACTGTTAAGAGATAATTTTAGAAAAGCCTAACAGTTAGATGAAACTCCTTGGATGAAAAGTTATGCCTCTTGTTTTCACTATTTCTTCAAATTCATAAAATTTGAAATTTATGGTTCATTGGCCTGGTGATGGAACTTACTGCATTGTAGAGAGAATTGGTTGGAACTTGTTTCCAAATCATAAACAAATGCTAACAGAAGCATACCTGCTTTTGTACTTACTAGTTATAGCAGTTATTCTTTTATAATTCTCATAATGAGATTAATCAGAACATGGGCGGAAGAAGAACCAAACTTAAATCTCAATTGGTTAGAGACTCGTGCTGATAACATGTTATGAAATAATATAAAACAAAGTAAAATAAGAGGAACGTAGAGAGAGATAATTAATAAACTTTTCTTGATCTCTTAAAAATGGTAGGGAACCTCCTATTTATAGGAAGAAAGAACTTGGCCCCCAAGTAATAGCTTGATCCTAACTGAAATAAGAGAGAAACAACCTCTCGTAGCTCAGTTAGTTACTCTACCTACTTAGTAAGCGGAGGTCTTGAGTTTGACTCTCAATGAGAGCATTCTATTTTTCTAGAATACGAATACAGTCGATATATGTTATATGCTTTATATACATCCCTGTATTTCGTTTTGGTTGTATTCGTAGCGGAATGAATACAGTAAGCGGAGATCTTGAGTTTGACTTTCAACGGGAACATTCTATATCTACAATACGAATACAGTCGATACAGGTTATATCCTTTGTATACACCCCAATATTTCATCTTAGTTGTATTCGTTGCCGAACAAATACAGTTGACAGAAATTATTGAAATTTCCATTATCGCAAAATTATATAATTAGAACTAATAGCGGTGGATGATGTAGCATGGTTCAATGATTCCAACATTTTTGATATGGAGTATAGGATATATGTTAAAGATTACTAAATTGCAAGAAAAAAAATTAATTTTAACCTGTGATTTCTAAATGTTAATAGATTTATGGTAAGAACCTAAAGGTTGAACCAATCAATATAATTTCTCGATTCACCTCTTTGTAATAGTGCACCATCTTCTTGGAATCTCTAGATGAAGAATTAACCCAAATAGCCATCCACCCAACTGCTTATACTAAAAATAGCCAGTGAAGGTATAATATATGCATAATTTATGAATTACATGTGTATAATTATGTATAATCAATGTATAAACTATATATATGGCTAGAAAAATAAATAATAAATATAGTAGGCTATTTCTGTAAAAATCCCTTCTTAGATCCGCCTCGGAAGAAAAGCCCAACAAGCATAATACATCAGAAAGTAAGTTAGAGAGTGAGGAAGCAAGAAGAGCAACAAAATCAGATTTCACTGTCTCTTACTCTGAATTAGTTAGGACCTTTGTCTTTTAAAATGTTGTAGAAGGTTAGGCCAATAGATGTTTTTTTTTTTTTTTTTTTTTTTTTTTTTTTTTTTTTTGGTTTTTCACCGGTGTTCGGTACCCGTATGGGAGCTTGACTATATCCGGATTCGTGCTGCGTAGGACCTCATTCGGGAGGAAACGCTCTCTACCAAGGATTTTTTAATACCTAGGGCTCAAACTCGAAACCTCTGGTTAAGGGAAGAACAGTCTCATCCACTGCACCACATCCTTTGATTTGATGGTGGCCAATAGATGATGTATAATTTTGACGATGAAAATATTGCAGCTAAGAAAGAGTAGTCCCAAAAAATTTCACAATCTCTTAATCCGAATTAGTTACCTGTAGCTGAAGGTTAGACCAAGAAAATGATTTACTAGAACGTTTGACGAGAAACAAATTGATGAAGATAAACATCATCCTCAATACGGCATGTCTTTTGTTAACTGGATTTTGTTATATCCTTAATTAAGGGCAAGTTTTGTTCTGTTTTTTCCTGCCACACTTCTTAAAAAAATTATGAAAGTGTAGATATATTTTCAGAGCTGAACGTAGCCTATTTATTCTTATCATTGCCTTCCTCCAGGCAAATTAATCTTAGTACTGTCATCAACGGTCGCGTTTCTTTCTCTCCTCACCTTATCTTTTGCACATTAATCATACAGATTAAGGTAGAAACAATGCAGTAGGATAAAGGTAAATAGTACAGTTGTAGTACAACATATAGTCAATAGTAAGGGTAGTACATCCTAGTACCCTAACGAACTCAAAAAAGGAGTACAAAATGGAAGTACCATCCTCATGAAAGAATTCCCTCAAGGATATATTAATATAATATAATGTACTTTTTGTTTGTCAAATTTTCTTCTTCATCAATTCCTATATACTTGTGAATTACTCTTTGGATCAAGAGGGGAAACTTCTGCCTCTTTGTTTTTGGGGTTCCTTGTTTTAAAATGATAATTTGTCACACATCTCGACTATTTTACCTCTCAGCAACACAAGTATTAGGTAACTCCACCTAGCATCTTTTCTTCTTTGGTATCAATAAGAGAAAAGATCTGAGGTATCAAACATGTTCTACTCTCAGCTGGGATGGCGTGATCGATGGGAGGGCGTTGTTAGGGTGATTGCCATTGGAAAGCCAGAATTATAGAATGGACCATCAATTCCAGACGTGAAACATTGACATTGGTGTGGTCGATCAGCCCTCATTTCTTGCCGGGGAACCATTTATGAAGTTATACAAGTTCATTCACCTTCTTTAGCGTTCATTTCTTCTCCGTCACCACTCACCCTCTTAAACCCTCTTTTTTTTTTTTTTGCAATCCACTAGAAAGCGCATAGGGCTAGTTTTTTATTAATAAAAGAAAAGAAAAATACAACAATTAGGAACCATTTATGAAGTTATACAAGTTCATTCACCTTCTTTAGCGTTCATTTCTTCTCCGTCACCACTCCCCCTCCTAAACCCTCGTTCCCCTGGATTTCTTTTTTTTTTTTTTTTTTTTTTTTTTT